TTAAATGCATGGATACCTTGCCAATCATTAAGAAGTCTCAGAATAGAAGTCACCCTTAACAACGGCACTCTCATCCTGACCCCATCACTGTGTTTCCCCACTTGGCAATAGAAAGTTACCCAAAAGGAGCAGCTGCCTAAACCTGACCTGGGAGACATATTTTAGAGCATGTCCCCCTGCTCCATCACAAACATAATTAGGAATTGTGTCAGTTGACTGACAATTATGTGAAATGTTTGAGTTTAACATATTTCCCTCTGTATTCATATGCCAATCTTTAATGTCTATACCATGTTCTTAAGTGTGTTGCCCTTCATTTACAATAATTGTTTGATATATAGTGACCCAGAGTTTCACATTTCAGTGTTAAGGATTTAGTAGTAAACTATTTACAGATGGGCATAATTGAAATTTTAAATCACTAATATAACTGAGCGATACCACTTGGTTACAGTTAGCTCTGCTGTAGTTCCTGGCATCATTTCCCTGTAGCATAGCCACAATTGATGTAGGGGTGAAAAACTATGTTAAGGAACCAAAAGAAGTGAAGGTGAAAAAGGAACCAGCTGGTCTCCCCTACCTATTGCTTTCCATATTCCTCTTACTCTTACTCTTTTCATCCTTATTAGAAAAGAGAAAGGAATATATATTTATACAGCTGCCTATTACTTGCCAGGCACGTACAAAGGGCTTTTTATAAATATTATGTCATTTGATCCTTAGAACAACCCTTGGAGGTATGTGCTATTATTATCCTCATTTTACAATTGAGGAAATGTAGGCAAAGAAAGATTAAGTGACTTGCCCATAGTCACATAGCTAGTAAGAGTTTGAGGCTGAATTTGAACTCAACACTTCTTAACTCCAGGCCCAGTGCTCTATCAGTACCCCACCAGCTGCTTCAAAATTATTAGCCTTAATCTTAGCTATTCTTAGGCTACCATAAGGAAATAGATGTAGTAGAGCCACATCTTTATCCCATTGAGACTTTCTTTTGCATCAGTGCCTCCAGCAATCACCACGTACAGCTTTTTTAAAGGATTAAAGAGTCCAAAGAGAAATCGGCTTCTCTTCAAGATTAATTGACTTTGACTACATTATCTGTTGGCCAAAACTGTTGCCCTTTCCTCCACTCAGGTTCTCTGAAATAATCTTCTTCCCTTCGAGAAAGAAGAAAAAAGTCACTGGAGCATTTTTTTTAAGTTAACAGAAGAACCCAGAAGGAAAGTCAAAAGAGATAATAGACAGGCAGAACAGTTATGAAAGTTACATACCAAATTTATTAGAACCTTGAAAAGCAAGCTGTGCATATTTGAGATTTGCAGTTTCATGTGTGATCCCCTTTTTTTTTGTTCTATTGTATATGTGGAAGTGCTTGTTTTATTTGGAGTTGAGACCAAAATATTAAGAACAAACTAATAAAATTGTGGGATTGGACTATATGGACTCTCTAGCACTAGTTCTATGATCATGTGAATTGTCTGGAATGTGATGGCTGGGAGTGGGTTGCGATTCAACTCATTATTCATTCTTTCAGAACCAATGCTTTTCACCCTCAGCTTACTTGAATCGAAATTTCTCCAACATAGGGTTACTATAAAGTTCTTGTGTAATTTTAAAATCTCACATGTGGATATTATAGGAACAGCTAGTAAATGTCATTTTAAAATAAACAATTTCTCATAGCCGATTTAGTGTTATAAGACATACAGTTATCTTCTGTATACATAACTAATTTGTCAAGATTTGAAAAAATACATTGGATGTGATTGTAGTTTTCCCAATATTGGCTTTTTAAAAAAATGTAATGTTTCTATTGGAACTCATCAAAGTACTGACCACTCTTTCGTTCTTAAAACTTTCTCTTCCCTTGGTTTCGTCTGAACTAGGCTACTCATGTTCTGCTCACATTTCCTGACGACTCCCCCTTTCCCCCATCAGTTCCCATGAGCTCAATTATCTTCTCTATTAAATTGACTCCTTGTTCTGAAGTTTACTTGTTCAGCACTCTTCTTTTTCCAGAGTTCCAGTTTTGCATTACCAGTTGCCTGCCAGGCATCTTTGTCTAGATGTCCCAGAGATATCTCAAAATCAATATGTTCAGAAAGAGAGCTTGACTAATATTTATGTTCTGTTAGTATTTTTTATCCTCTTCTCTCCAGAAATGTTGTCAGCAAAAATTTACTAAAAGCCTACAATGTGCCAAGCAGTGTTAAGCATAGGGATTCAAAGTATAAGATGAAAGTACCTTTTCAAGGAGTTTACATTCTATGCAAGGAAATAATATATACCATGTATAAGTAGATACACAATATATATACAAAGTAAATGCATGCTTATTTTAGTGGAGGGGGGAATACTAGCAACTGAGAGATTCTAGAAAGGATCCATGTGGGAGTTGGCTAATGAGTTTAACTGTAATGGAAGTTAAAGATTCCTGCACTAAGAGTCAGAAGCAAGGAAGCATATTCCAGGCATAAAAGCAGCTTATCAGGCTACAGAGATTGAAAATGGCCTGTTGTGTGCAGAACTACAAGAAACCCATTTTGGCTGGATGTTGGAATGAATGAAAGGTAGTAGTGTGTAAGCCTGGAAAGGTAGGTGAAGACCAGTTTTTGAAGGGTTTTACTCCACAAACAGAAGAGTTTATATCTCATCCTAGAGGTGATAGGCAGACCCTGGACCTTATAGAGATAGGAGAATGATGTGGTAAGACTTCTCAGCTTTAAAAATATTACTTTGGCAGTTGTGTAGAAGATATACTGAAAAAGGGAGAGGCTTTAGGTAGACAAGACCAATCGCACTGGGAACGTGATTAAGTGAATGGAGTATAGGGGAACAGCTATGAAAGGTGTTATTGAAGTAGGGATGGAAGTCATGGCATCCGAATTTGGCGTGAGAGAGAATGAGGAGCTGAGGACGACTCCCAGGTTGAGAACCTGTTTGGACAGGAAGGAAAGTGCTGTGGGCAGAAATAAGGATAATCAGAAGAGGAATGGGTTTTGAGGGGAAAATGCATTGTGTTTTAGACATGTTGAGTTTAAGATGCCTGTAAGACATCCAGTTTGACATGTCCACTAATAATACAACCACACTGATTCAGGCTGTGATCACTTCTGGTCTAGACCTCTGTAGTATCCTTCTACTTGATCTTTCTTCCACCAGTCCCTCTCCTGTCCCATACATCCTCCAGATAGGTGCCAAATTGATATTCCTAAAGCTCAGGTCTGACCCTGCCCATTTACTTAAAAAAGTTTTAGTGGCTTCTTACTGCCTGTTGGATAAAATACAAACGCCTCTTAGACATTTATAATCCTTTACATTCAGGCTACCACCTGTCTTCCCAGAGTGATTCCTACCCTCATGTACTCTGCATTCTAGCTGAACTTGGCTGTGTCTCATAGTGAAGCATGACATTTCCTGCTGCTGTGGCTCTTCATAAGCTGTTCCCCCTGTGTGGAATGTTCTCTGTTGTCACTTCCACCTCCTTAGAATCCCCATTTCCTATCAAGGTTCCCTCTGTCTCATAGAAGAAACTTTTTGGTTCTTCCATGCATAGAAACCTCTTTCCACTGCCAGTCCCTGTCTTCACCTCTCAGAGTATGGCAACTTTTTGGGCTTTGTTCTCTTTAAATGCGAAGTTATTTCATGGAACTGCAACTCTGCGATTATTCTTCAGCTTGTAGTTGTAGACGGTTTCCCAGGGGTTTGAGAGGCCTCTTGCCAAGGTTAAACAGTCATGTTGTCTCAGAAGCAGAACCTGGACCCAGATCTTTCTGACCCTGTGGTCCACAAGTTTTGTATTTGCCAAATTTATGTAAGCTCTTTAAATAGTTGGAACTATTATCATTTTTTTTCATTGTATCCCCAGTGCTTAGCACATAATTGATGCTTGCTGTTTATTAAATTAAACTGAGCAGAATTCTCTTTTATCAGTCACATTAAAAAAAAAACTTTATTAAATGTCTCCTCTTTGCATCATATAGTATGATGTAATAGAGAGACAACCTGCAATTAGAGTCTGGATAACCTGTACTGTCTCACCTCTGACACATAATGGTGTGATCCTAAACAGGTCATTTAACCTTTAGTGCCCTGGATCACTCTCTAAAACTATCAGATGCATATCATTTGCCCATCTATAATAAGAAGAGATTCTTCACATGGAGCTTTCTATACCTATAAAATGACAAATGTTCCTTCCTCATTGCCAAAATGCAGAATAGTGTTGGTCATAGAATTTTAAATTAAGATTTAGAATTCAATCTTAAATTTCTTTAGCCTGGTATATTGTGATTATCAAGGTTCCTTGGCACTTAAAATTTTATGAAAATTTTTTGGGTTTCCTTATATAATTATTTGTAAGTAGATTCTCGCTGAAGAACTCTTGGGTTCTCTTACTCAGAGTATGCTTATTCTTAGAGTAACGGAAGATGAGGTGATCTTTATTTCTGTTCTTATTTACAACTAATTATTAATATGTAATAAAAATGAAATTATATGATAAAAATAGGAAGATAAAGTCAGCTTCTTTTTTAAAAAGATTGTCATAAAGAAGATTCTGGTCACTTGTTCATCTTTGTGGAGAACAATACTAGAATGAAAGTTCTAAAGTTACCTAAGAGACAGTGGTAAACATGAGATTTTTAGTGTTAAGGAATAGTGGAAAAGTCTTCTAAGAGAAGTGAAGTCTTCATTCTTGGAACTTTAAAAAAAAGATTAAATAATTTTTTGTTGCTTTTATATATTTATAATATCTGGCATATAAGGTGTAGGAACTCTTGAGATTGACCTAGCATGATTATTTTAAAAATAAAATTCTTAAATGGCATAAATCTCCAACAGTACTTTTTGATGAATTTAAAACATATCTCTTAGAAATTCACAATTACATTTTAAAGTTAATATTAAATTCAGTATTATAACAATTGTTTATAATGTTAAATTTCACTTAATATTGGTATTGCCATATTGAAATAATTATAAATGTCTCTTTGTAGGTACTGTAAGAATTGAGATGTTCAGGAATATGCAGAATGCAGAAATCATCAGAAAAATGACTGAAGAATTTGATGAGGTAACAGTATATTCATAGTTACATAGCTTTTTCAGAATGAAAATGTATCTTGTGGGTGTATGTAATATGCTTTTACCTGTTTTAGCCTCTTTATTAGCATTGTAATTTAAGTAAAGATACACTCTACATCTCTTCAATAATCCACCTTTCTGTGTATAACTATGTTTAATATGAGTTTGATTTGATGAAGTATGGAGCAGTGTTCTCAAGTGTAAGGTTAAGAATGGCTTGGTTGTATTGTTGTTGTCCTTCATTCATGAAGAGGAGGAAAATGACATCACTATGCTGGGGTCAAGGTATAGTGTGTCTGACTGTAACTGATGAGACCAACATGAGCTTGGAAGGCTCTACAACAAATCAGGCACAAATAGTCCATATGAATGTTTCAAATGGAGATTTCTCTAAATTTGCACATCTCACATATATTTTGAGCTAATGCAATTATGCTATGCTCATAGAGCACAATACCTTCTTTGATGCAGGTGTACCATGCTTAGTGGTTCTGTGCCAGTGGTCTCCCATGTCTCATAATTAAATAAAAGTTCTTCAGAGAGACTTTGAGAGTATCCTTGTATTACTTTCTTTGACCTCTGTGTGAGTGCTTGTCTTATTTGTGTTCTCTATAAAATAGTCTTTTAGGCAAATGTATGTTTGGCATGCAAAACAGTGTGTCCAGCCCTTTGGGGTTGTGCTCTCTGCAGTAGAGTTTGAACTAAGTGAGTAAATCTAGTAGACTTGGACTCAGTAAGGAGATAATGGAGAGCCAATAATGGAATTGGAAAAGGGGTATGGTATCACTGTCATCACCAAAGCCTTTTGAAATGTGAAGAAAGATTAGCAACTAAGGGAAATGAGAGTTGTAATACTCCAAGCATGGTTTTCACTGTACCACAAATGAGGAGGTGGGTATGGGCCGGGGATGGAAGGTGGACGGAATATGAGTTTGTGATATGGACAGTGTAAAGAGTTTCCTTTAAAAGCCCATTTTGTTTTAATAAAGTTATTTTCTTGCCCTGGCTGATATGTTAATCTTGAAATGATATGATAAAAAATTCTTTTAAGAAATAGATATGTAAAAATTATCAATACTTTAATGTTAAATCTAGTTTTAACAAGACTGTTATTTTCTTGCTATTTCCAGAGACAATTTAACTATATTTGGTTTCTTGTATTATGTTAAATAGTTTTAACAAAACTTGACCTCATTTACAAAATAACATGTTAGTTATTTAGTGAGGAGGTTTGCAGTACATATTTGTGCTAAATAACTTCAGCTTTAGTTTTTGGAATCTTTTATTTTCTAGTAGTGCTTCTGAACTATCACTAATGAACTGTCATTAGTAGAAGAAAGGTGAAGGTAGGCATATTGTAGCTGTGATCCACAGGATACTAGATTTATGCAAGGAGATGCAAAGTCTGGGTTTTTGATGGGCTGATTTAGATAGGCATCTAGGTGGCACAGTGAATAGAGTGCAGGACCTTCCAGAGTCAGGAATATTCATCTTCCTGAGTCCAAATGTGGCCTCAGACACTTACTAGCTGTGTGACCCTGGGCAAGTTACTTAACCCCGTTTGCTTCAGTTTCCTCATCTGTAAAATGAGGTGGAAAATTAAATGACAAACCATTCCTGTTCTCTGCCAGTGAAACCCCAAGTGAAGTCACAGAAGAGTTGGACACAACTGAAGCCACTGAACAACAACAAACAACTATTTGGATGGGATCCACATAATCTTATCCAAGGGGAGGCTGGTGAGATAGGAAATTCACGTGTTCTTTATCTCACCCTAATTTAGAGTTTTGTTGTTCAGTCATTTAGTCATATACAACTCTTAGCACACCAGTACTCTTCATGTATTTTTCTTGGCAAAAATACTGGAGTGATTTGCCATTTCCTTTTCTAGTAGATAAAGACAAATGGGTTAAGTGACTTGCCCAAGGTCACACGACTAGTCAGTGTCTAAGGCCAAATTTTAATTCGGTTCTTCCTGACTCCAGGCCCAGCATTCTATCTACTAAGCCACCTGGCTGCTTTCAAAAGGGTTGAGGCCCCACTAGGATTTGAACACAGTGTATTCTGCTTTTTAGGCAGGCACTTTAACCACTAAGCCATGAGGCCTCCATAACTCTATAAAGCCAGATTACCTTTATAAGCACCTATAAAGCATCAAAAATACTTTAATCGCTCTTTCAGCAGCTTAGTTTAGATGCGACAGTTCACATATCAGCTTCGTGGTTAGTCAACATTTAAATTCTTTTCAGTGGAAGAGTTCTTTAATAAACAAGTATTTTCTATATGTACATACATACACACATATATACACACACATACACACACACACGGAAACAAACAAACATAGAAGGGGTCTTTATAATATAATTGGCAGGAAACTTCTACTGAGGAGACTGTAGCTTGACAGTTGACTTGCAGCTTATATTTTCAGTTTCTTCATACACAGTCACACGCACACAGCAAATTCCCCAATTCACCATCACAACAGTTTGAAAAACTCATCATTTCTGTGTAGAACATTATGCTTCCATTTTTATAAGGTTTGTAATGATCTCTTATTATGTTCTTTCAAACTTGTTAATTTGGCATCTTGCCTATAGTTATATTAAGGTTTTACTGCAATTAAAGAATTGCATATATTCTTTTTCAAAGTCATAGTTCTTTCTGATTTTTGTATATTTCTTCGATTTTTGTCAACATCAAGCATTTATTAGGACCTACTGTGTACCATGAACAATGCTAAGCTCTGGGAATACAAAGAAATGCAAAAATTCAGTTCTTATACAATGTTGTGCCCTTTGCCAAGTGTTAGAATATTTTTTCAGACTTTTGCAGGGGTTTGTTCCTCCCCACCCCCAATTTCGTAAAATAACAGCCAGAGCCCAGAATCAGGAACTTAGGCTTAATTACTAAAGAGCTGACAGCAAATTTATATTCATTCCTAAGCAACTTCTTTTTGATTGCATAGTGGCAGTCTGCCAAATTCATGTTTAAATAATTGTTTTTTGTGGTCATTTTTGTTAGAGCATGGTAGAATCTCTGCAAAAAAAAAAAAGTGATGAATAGATTTAATGAGAAATTTAATTTTAGTCAGTGCTTTATGTTAAATACATGATTAAAATTTAAAAAAAAGCTTTTCAAGTCACAGGTAGTTTCAGAACACCATCTATTTTGATTTGATTTGATTGAACATTTCATTTATTTTGACTAGATATAATGTGGTATCATAAAACCTGTACTTTATCTTCATTATTTTCACACAGAATATGGGCAAATTTAAGAAAGTCAATAGGAAGCAGGTTAACATAGGGGCTAGAGGGCAAACACTAGAGTCAAAAAGACTTGGATTCAAGTCCTACCTTTGATAAATACTAGCTTTGTCTCCCTGGGTAATTTACCTAACTCTTAGAGCCTCCAGGTAATTCTCTAAGATAGATAGTGGCATAAAAGCTGCTGATCTGCATTTTTCTTTCTTTCTTTAAGGCAACTGGGATTAAGTGACTTGCCCAGGGTCACACAGCTAGTAAGTGTCAAGTGTTTGGTCTGAGGCTGGATTTGAACTCAGGTCTTTCTGACTTTAGGGCCAGTGCTCTATCCACTGAGCCACCTAGCTGGCCCCAAGTTATTTCTTTGATAGGTATCCCTATGCCAATGAAATCTAGACTTCCCAAACCCAAAATGCTTACTTGCCCACTCTTTACTATCATTGAGGCAGTAGTGAATTTTTTTTGTTAATTTATTTATTTTTAGTTTTCAGCATTCACTTCCACAAGATTTTGAGTTCCAGATTTTCTCCCCATGTCTTCCTTCCCCCCACCCCAAGATGGTGTGCATTCTAAATATACTTTCCCCCAATCTGCCCTCCTTTTATCACCCCCTCCCTCTTCTCTTATACCCTTCTCCTTCTATTTTCCTGTAGGGCAGGATAGATTTCTATACCCCTTTGCATGTATACCTTATTTCCCAGTTGCATGTAAAAACAATTTTGAACATTTGTTTTTAAAACTTGGAGTTCCAAATTCTCTCCCTTCTCTCCCCATCCACTCTCATTGAAAAGGCAAGCAATTCCATATAGGGTATACATGTGTAGTCATGCAAAACACTTCCATAATAGTCATGTTGTGAAAGACTAACTATGTTTCCATCCATCCTATCCTGCCCCCCATTTATTCTCTTCTCTCCTTTGAGATTATTCCTCCTCAAAAGTGTTTGCTTCTGATTACTCCCTCCCCCAATCTGCCCTCCTTTCTATCATGACCCCCTCTCTTATCCCCTTCCCCCTATTTTCCTTTAGGGTAAGGTAGATTTCCATACTCAATTGAGTGTGTATGTTATTCCCTGCTTAAGCCAAATCCGATGAGAGTAAGATGTACTCATTCTCTCTCACCTTCCTCCACTTCCCCTCACTGTAAAAGCTTTTTTTTTTTGCCTCTTTTATGAGAGATAATTTACCCCTACTTCTCCCTTTCTCCTTCTCTCAGTACAGTCTTCTCTCATCCTTTAATTTTATTTTGTAGATGTCATCCCTTCATATTCAACTCACCCTGTGCCCTCTGTCTATATATTCATTCCCTCCAACTATACTACTACTAAGAAAGGTCTCATGAGTTACAAATAATCATCTTTCTATGTAGGAATGTAAACAGTTCAACTTTAATAAGTCCCTTATGATTTCCCTTTCTTGTTTACCTTTTCATGCTTTTCTTGAGTCTTGTATTTGAAAGTCAAATTTTCTATGTAGCTCTGTTCTTTTCATCAAGAATGCTTAAAAGTCCTCTGTTTCGCTGAATGTCCATTTGTTCCCCTGAAGGATTATACTCAGTTTTGCTGGGTAGGTGATTCTCAGCTGTAATTCTATCTCCAGAATATTATACTCCAAACTCTCTGGTCTCTTAATGTAAAAGCTTCTCAATCTTGTGTTATCCTGATTGTGTTTGCACAATACTTGAATAGTTTCTTTCTGGCTGCTTGCAATATTTTCTTCTTGAC